TGACATCAGCGGAAAGCGGCCGCGCGATCCCGGGGGAAGGAGGCCCTGCAGCGGCTGCACCGAGCGCTGCCGCCCGGATCGCGGCCCGCCCGAGACGACCCCACACGCTCCAATCCGGAGCGCAGGGAGTGCCACAAAAGCTGCCCCTTCCCTAAGAATTTCAGGGCAGGCTCAGGCCTCCTCCTCCCTCAGCTCCTATTTATCTGCCCCCCAGGAGCCCCTTATCAGCTGCTGCCTCCTCAGATTGTTGAGGGCTGGGAACAAAAACCCCATCGGGGCTATCACAGCATCACCTGGACCCACCCTGCACTGTGCTCAGCTGGGACTGATAGCGGTGGTGGGGATAAGAGCTGCTTTGTGTGGCCGGGGGTTCCCATGATGCCGGTGATTCCCGTGATTCCCATACAGGGGCTGCCTGCGCTCCCTTGGGCATGCCGGGCCGGGCTGGGAGCACTGGGACCTGCCCAGGCTTTCCCACAGGAGCAAACAGTGCCAGAGCCAGCGTTGGACGTGCTCACCCCATTGCAGTGACTCTGGGGACATCCCGGACCCCGGCCCTACACCGACCCGGTGGCAGGCGCTGCTCCAGGGATGTGACAGCGCGTGGGCAGGACACAGCGGTTGCTGCTGTCACCGTCCCCTCGTGACTGCCTCACCCCCGTCAGCGATTCCGGGGGCAAAGCGGGGCTCTGAGGACGTGACTGTGACTGTGAGACACGGGCGAAGCTCTCGCAACGCCCGGGCTGGCCACGAGACGCGGCTGGGGCCCTGCGGAGGGAGGAGGAAGCGCCCGGAGCGGCAGCCCTGGGACGGGCAAGGGGAACGGGAAGCGGCTGGTGGCTGCGGCGGCTCCTCATCCTGCACCCGTTAACTCGCCGGAGCCGCGGCTGCTCCAGGCTGGATAGAGCACGAGGGAGGTCGGCGTGGGGAGAGGCCGCGGGAACGGCCGGGTTGGCGGCCGCGCGGAGCCCGGCTCCGGGACCTGGGCAGGTCTGTGTCCTGGCTGAGCGGGATGTGCTGTTTTATGGGAATCTTTATTGGCCTGTGCTTAAAAAAAGAGCAGGAATCTCCAAAGCAGCTTGAGCGGAGCTGCCCGAGCCCTGGCTGTGCCCGGTGCGGAACCCGCTCCGGGCAGGCGCCAGGCTCCCACCGCGCTCCGCAGCCCCCCGTGTCTCCATGCCCTCCCGTGGGACCCTGGAACACACAGTGGAGTTGACTTGCCCAAGGCCATGACTTGACCGACATGACTTGGCCAACGCAACCCGGTAGCTTCCTTTCCTCCCCGTGCCCTTGGCTGCTGCGGCCCTAGGGCACGGCCGGCGCGAAGCCCACGCGGTTGTTTCCGCGGTCGACGACGGA